AATCGAGGAGCCACGCTCCCCACTTTCCCACTAATGCACGACATTACTGCTTCAGCGTGCGAACACGCGAATTCAAATTCCGAGATTTCCGGGACAAGTCAATCTGATTGATTACCAACGATTCCTTTCCTAAAGGACGGTCGTTAGTCCGACTGACCATCCTCCGTGGGGACCCGTGCACTCGGCCACGTTAAACACCCGACTGAAGTCCTCTTCAAGATCGTTATGTGACGAGCTTGACACCCCTCTGATGGCAAGCCCGATGTGTCATCTGAATGCTGACATCGGGAGGATCACTAGGACAGCTCTGCAACACTCGAGCAACCACACGTCACTCGGCGGACGAACTACCACTCGGACGTACCAGACATGGAGGCGTCGTGGGAGCTGCAACGGTCAAAGAATCCTAAGTCATCCACTAAATAGAGTTATAGCTAGCGTTACCTGTAACTGCTGTGGTAGAGGCTCGTTACATTGGTAACTGTCTCATTCAATGGCATTAATTGCCCCGACGGCGTGGGAGACATGGGGCTGCAACACACTCTATATAAGCCGCTCCCCTCTCCATAGCCGGACATGTTCAACCCTTGTAACAATGTCCATCAAATCAAAGCAAGCCTCAGGGCACGAGACGTAGGGCTTTTACCTCCACCGAGTGAGGGGCCTGAACTCGTTAAACACCAAGTGTCACACCTACGCCGTAGCTAGTCTCTGTCCCTTATTCGTACCTCTAGTACTCATTGTCAGGATCATAACCCCGACAGCGGGCGCGGAGGCCGTGGAGATCATGGCTGCGACGAACCCCAACTTCGTCGCGAAGCAGCATGTCATCTACGATGTCGTCCGTGCTCAAGCCGGCGCTCGCTAGGAAGCGGCCGACGCGAAGGCGCAGTTGCAGGCGACCGTGAAGGAGAACAACACGAGTTGCGCCTCCTACGCCGTGTTTGAGAAGGAAATACAGTACTAGCTTGTGGCAGTTGCAGTGGCAGGAAGACGGTGGATGGAGGACGACATGGGCTTGTGGACGTCGGGCGCCACCGCCGTAGAATAGATTTAGGGTCGGGTATTTTTTTGGTTTTAGATGTTTGAAATGTAATGAAAATCCGCCGTGTTTGTATGAAATCCGGTCGTGTTTGCATGAATTTCATCTGATTTGTTGAAAAAGAGTTTAAAATGTATGCGGCTAGCGTTGGATGACGTCCTCCCGTATCCGTGTCCGTGGACGGTTCTCCTATTTGCGAATGGATGCATAAGAAAATTTGCGAGTTACCGTTAGAGATGCCCTTACCGTCAGTTACCAAAACACGGTGCAAGAGCAGGACTAATCCAAGCCCTATCATGCTTGCCTGCACTCCAACCCAACGCGATGGCAAACTTGCTCGCATGGCCCTTGTCGGATAATCGGAGCATATCGCGACGAATGGCTGAACAGAGCGCCGCTGCTCAGCCGCGGTATCATCAGTGGAGGTCTACCACAGAAACAGAAACATGCGTGGCGTCCACTAAACAAACCCCCCCAAAAAGCTAGCTGGGGCAGAGCCAGCGAGGGAGAGGAGTAGAGGAATCGTTCTCTTCCCTTTTGGCAATCCCCTCATCCCCGTGCGCAGGCAAAGACCAAGACACGAACAAAAAGGAGGACCGGACCGGTGGGCATGCAAAGCCGATATGCACACGCACGCTCGTATGGCTCGCCACGTTGCCAACGTGCCGGGGACGAACTGTGCCGCGACGTTGACGCTGTGTTTGGCCTGCTGGCCGATGGCCGATTGCCCGTCGTCGGTCGGGCTGCGCGCGAGCCATCGCGTCCGCGCCCGACGCCCGATCGGGACCTCCCTCCCACCCCACCCCTCCCCTCCCCGTTGTACGCACTCTTCTGGCTGCTCCACCATGCGCCCGTCCGTCCGTGCAACGGAGCATTCATAGGAGAACGAGGAGATCCTGACGCAATTCAGAGGAAGAAGGCGTGTCTGCCGCCGGTGACGTCGCGGTACCATTCATGATCAAGGTTTGTGCGCACACGTAGTACAGTACACCGGAGCGGTGCATGTTACGAGCTTTGCCGGCCCCACGTGGCAGCAGCAAAGAGGATGCTTGACGAGCCCCCGGGCCCCGGCCGACGGCGTGTGTGTCAGGCCAGGGGCTCGAACGACAGTTGCGGGCGGTTGGGAGCCTCGGCCCACGGCGCGTCGCCTACCTCGTCTGCCTCCCCCTTTTTATTCCGCCCTGGAGAGGGTCCAACCGTCTCTTCTTCGCCTTGGGCTGGCTCGGCTCCCCCCCGACTTTCCACCTCCCCGGCTCCGGCTCCGGCTCCGGCTCCGCCCCGCGCACTACCGAAGGCCGAAAGGTACTGCTCCTCTCTCTGTTCCCCTCCCTTCCCTTTCCTCTCCCACCACCCGTTCGATGAAATGGCGCAGCCGCAGAATTAGCCGCTCCTTGCTTTTCATATCCTGCCGCCCTCGCGACGCCTAGAGCTGACCAAGAGTTCGAATTGGTATGTGCCTCCTCTGTTGTTGCTCCACGACTCGAGCTGTTTCTTTCTTGCTGGTTCCGCAGGTGCCCTGGTTCTTGCTCCTGCACGGGACAAGGGGCCAAGAATTTCTGTGGTTTTGGTATGTTTTGTTTGCTCAAGATATTGCGCCTTTTCAAATTCTCTCGCGGTTTGCTTGCAGAATTTGTTCTTCCCCCTTGGACGAATGGATAATCCTTTGGCGGGTTAAGAGGTTGCTCGTTAAGGAACCTGAGATTTTAGTTTCGTGATTTCCGGGGAAGGAAGGATAGCTTATCGTCTTGGTAACACCAAGGGCATGCCGTGAAGCAACCCCCTCGACTTCAATTCTGGGTATTTATTCGGGGATGTGTCTGCACGATCGTTATGTACTTTTGCTTCAGAAAGAAATTGCTCTCCTGGAAATTAGGCTAGTCTTGAGACATCAATCTCATTTTTCTGTGTCTTCAGAGTCAGCCGACAAGTTTTTTTATTCCTGTTTTTGGTCTCGCTGTATTCCTGGCCTAACGCTCATTCCTCCCAGGACCTGCTATTTCTTGGCTTGTTAGGTCTCACTTTTGCTGGCTTCAAGTCAAGAAACAGATATAGGTTGGCTTACTCCGATAATCACGCAGGATTTCAGTCCTTAAAATCTTGTTAGGGGGCCAAGACATGGGAATTGGCAAGTTTGGTGGCTTTTGGGTGCCCATGTTACTTGCGATGAAGCTATATAGGCTTTGCAAGAATCATTAGTTCTATTCTAGTTGATGGGGTCTAGTGATCTACTAATCTTTGCTGTAAAGCTAAGAAACACCGGTACTTCTTTTCTCTTTTGCTAATACCTTTACCTTCAGCAAAGTCCTCACCACCTCCCTGCAAATTGGAAAGTTTTGGGATTAGACGTTTCTAGTTGGATATGTTGCTGTACGTAGTAGGTACTCTTGATGGCTGCCCTGTGAAAGGACATTGTTTGGTGGTGTGGTAGGGATTTTCTTTAATGATTTTGGTTCTCAGGCTCCGTTGCTGTCAGGGCTCTGTTTCAGTCCTTTGTTCTTCTTTGGTCCGGGTGCATTCATCTTCATACATTTAGATTGCAAACAATTGGGGCTTGGGGCTCCATAATTTCATACCAATCATTAGTTGTAGTTCCACATGGTTCGTTTTTGTTGTTTTTAAGCTTTGTCCAATGCAGTTTTTGTTTCTTTTCTTTAAAGTTGCCAAATCTGTGCTGTTAGGTACTCCCTCCGTCCGAAAATACTTGTCATCAAAATGGATAAAAAAGGATGTATCTAGAACTAATATACATCTAGATACATCCCCTTTTATTCATTTTGATGACAAGTATTTCCGGACGGAGGGAGTAGGAGGTAAGCTCTTACATATATGTTCTGACTGTACTAATTTATTGTTTCTAGGGAGCTACCAACTGCTTCATTGCTGATCCACAGCCCACTTTTGCTGTACTCAGCTAGCACCCCCTGTATTGCAAATCATGATCAAGCCAACATTGCCCAATTAGAACTTAGAATCAGCCTTCTGGGAAAAGTCTTTGGTACCTTGAGGGTTTTTCATTTTCTTTTGGCATGTTGCATTCATCTTCAGACAGTTGGCCAAATTTAGGCTGCAAACTGTTGGACCTTGGGGCTCCAAAATTTCACAATAATTGTATGCCCATATGATTTATTTTTGTGCGTTAGAATTCCTCCAGACCAAAATCATGCTTTTGAATATTTTTCCAGTGCCGTATTTTTTTGTTTTCACTTGAAATGTCAAACTTGGTTGTTTGGTAGGAGCTAAGTCAGGTAACTTTGCTGGAGCTTATGTATATGTTGTATGAACTAATTCTATGTTTCTGTTGAGCTACCAACTTCAATGGACCATCATAATTTCACTACACAATCCACAGCTCACTTTTTCTTTACTTAGCGACCACCCCTTGTATCGCAAACTATGAGCCAGCATTCAAG